CCATGCTACAGGAGATGGACGCTGCTCTCTAAGGTGCCAGATGGTGCTGGGTTTTCTGGATCCAGCAGAGATATTTGGAGAGCTTGGTGAACACACTGGGAGTTGACCCATTAGCGCTGCCATAGGAGACGATGCCCTGGGCCTTCCCGTCACACACCAGGGGGCCCCCGGAGTCACCCTGAGAAGCAAACACCAGGTACGGGGTTACTGGTCTCCCAGGAAGCTGCTTTCTGTAGCCTCAGTCCTACCCCCAGTGTCTCCCACCTTGTGTGGACTCACGGACCCAGTGTTGCATTTCTAGCATCCATGTTTCACTCTCGTCTCTGGTTCTGACTCCTGGTTAACCCCTGATCCTGATTTCTAGGATGTCCTGCCGATTTCTCACATCCATGCGGGGGAGGATGGGGGGGTTCATTCAGTAATTCCACTAGGTTCCAGTTCATTCCCAAACCTCATTTCAGGCTTCCTCACTGACTCTTAAAATCCATCCCCTGATTTCCAGGTCGTGGCCGACCCTTCTCCGTGATTTCTAGACCCTGTTGACCATCCAGCTGACTCCTGCCCCCTGGTGCCCATATTCCAGCCCAAATCGGTCCCCAAAATATTAGGATGCATTCTGCCGTTGAAAGAACAGCCTAGTTCTTGTCCCTGGATTCAAGCCTCCAAGGACCTGGCCCAGTCTGGTTCCCGGTTCCAGGGATCTTCTTGCTCCACTATTGATTCTGCCTGTCCCACTTCTGTGCAGCCCTGTCAATCACCTACTAGGCTCCGCCCCCGATGACCTCACACCCCATGGATCCAGACTCATGCTCACCAAGAAAGGGGTTTTCCTCCCCTCGGGATCCCCCACGCACAGCATCCTGGATGGCACGAAGGGCAGATAGTTACAAGACAGGCACATGTTCCTGTTCATGACCGTCAGGTCCACTTCCTGCAGCGTTGGGGAGGTGGAGCCGTTTATCTTGAAATTCGTCTGGCCCCAGCCGGCCACGCTGCACACGGCTCCACGCTTCACCTTATTCCCAGACAGGGCGATGGTGCCCACGGCCGTGGTCAGCTCGGCCTGTCTCTGGAGCTGCGAGGGGCGAGGGAGAAAGGAAATCAAACTCCTCTTGGAGGTGGTTCCTGCACAGGGCAGACGTTCTTACGCCGGGTTCTTGCCTGACATGATCAGTTTAGGTGGTGAAAGGTGTCCCAGTGTCTGATGTGGGCCATGTGTCAACTGGGGTGGGATGGGATGGAGCGGTACCTGCAACAATGTGAGGTCACTGGGGGTGGGGCTACAGGCTGGGGGCGGTACCTGCAGCAGTGTGAGGTCACTGGGGGTGGGGCTACAGGCTGGGGGCGGTACCTGCAGCAGTGTGAGGTCACTGGGGGTGGGGCTACAGGCTGGGGGCGGTACCTGCAGCAGTGTGAGGTCACTGGGGGTGGGGCTACAGGCTGGGGGCGGTACCTGCAGCAGTGTGAGGTCACTGGGGGTGGGGCTACAGGCTGGGGGCGGTACCTGCAGCAGTGTGAGGTCACTGGGGGTGGGGCTACAGGCTGGGGGCGGTACCTGCAGCAGTGTGAGGTCACTGGGGGTGGGGCTACAGGCTGGGGGCGGTACCTGCAGCAGTGTGAGGTCACTGGGGGTGGGGCTACAGGCTGGGGGCGGTACCTGCAGCAGTGTGAGGTCACTGGGGGTGGGGCTACAGGCTGGGGGCGGTACCTGCAGCAGTGTGAGGTCACTGGGGGTGGGGCTACAGGCTGGGGGCGGTACCTGCAGCAGTGTGAGGTCACTGGGGGTGGGGCTACAGGCTGGGGGCGGTACCTGCAGCAGTGTGAGGTCACTGGGGGTGGGGCTACAGGCTGGGGGCGGTACCTGCAGCAGTGTGAGGTCACTGGGGGTGGGGCTACAGGCTGGGGGCGGTACCTGCAGCAGTGTGAGGTCACTGGGGGTGGGGCTACAGGCTGGGGGCGGTACCTGCAGCAGTGTGAGGTCACTGGGGGTGGGGCTACAGGCTGGGGGCGGTACCTGCAGCAGTGTGAGGTCACTGGGGGTGGGGCTACAGGCTGGGGGCGGTACCTGCAGCAGTGTGAGGTCACTGGGGGTGGGGCTACAGGCTGGGGGCGGTACCTGCAGCAGTGTGAGGTCACTGGGGGTGGGGGATGGGATGGGGGCGGCACCTGCAGCAGGGGGAGGTCGCTAGGGGCGGGGGGTACCTGCAGCAGCATGAGGTCATTTTCCAGCGTGGCATCAATGAATTTGGGGTGGGGGATTCGACGCCTCACCCCGATCTCCTGCGTCCCCTGTTCCTTCCTGGAAACGTTGTGGGCCCCCAGCAGCACGGTGAGGTTGCTGCGACACACAAGGGGAAGCCGGCAGTGTGGATGGGGGCCACACGCCGGGGTCCCTCCCTACAGCGGGTGGGTCTGGACACTCCCTTCGACTGGGCCCCAATGAATTTGGGGTGGGGGATTCGACGCCTCACCCCGATCTCCTGCGTCCCCTGTTCCTTCCTGGAAACGTTGTGGGCCCCCAGCAGCACGGTGAGGTTGCTGCGACACACAAGGGGAAGCCGGCAGTGTGGATGGGGGCCACACGCCGGGGTCCCTCCCTACAGCGGGTGGGTCTGGACACTCCCTTCGACTGGGCCCTGCCTTACCCCACGTCGCAGTTACAATGGGCGGCCGTCAGCACCACGTCCTCCTGAATCAGGAACCCTCCGCAGATGCCATGTGCTTTTCTTTCTTTCACTAGGTTCACCAAGGCCATGTAGGGTCTCGAGTGGGGCCGGGCTTCCCGGCCCCCGACGATGCCTCCTGGCAGAGATGCCCAGAGAAGGAGTTAATCCAGCCAGTCCTTCCGCTAATCGAGTTCCCAGCTAATAGCCGGGACCCCTTTGTATCCAGGGTCAGTGCCAACGAAGGACCGATCCTCGTTACACAGATGAGGAAATCGAGGCAGAAGTGGGAAGAAGACTCCTTCCCGAGCCGTGAGGTGGGGTCGAAAGGAAAAGAACCCTGGTGTTCTGATCCCCAATTATCCACCAACATGCTCATTGCTCTTTTCCAGCCACGCGCAACTTTTTTATTCATGTGCGGAATAATTTTACATGTGCCAAGGTGCTCGTGGATGTGCACCACCCGCAGAAACAAAAACCAGTGGTGGGCGCCCTGCTCATCAGCAAGATGGCATCAGAATCCCCGCCTGCTTCTAGGGATCCCTGCCGTCCCCTCTCACCATTAGCCCCTGCTTCCCTCCCGCCGATGGAGACACAACCCAGGACGCGCCGCCCCAGGCGCAGCCCCTCCCCCGCACTCTCCCAGATCCGGAGAGCGAACCCCGGAGTCCTGCTCCCCCCCTCGGTCCCCACCCTGCTCAAACCACAGCGGCTGAATGGAGCTGCACTTCCTGTCCGGGAGCTAGCGTACCACATCAGCCGTTACTGAGCGTGCATGATGCCTCCGTCTCGGGGGATCTATGTGAATAGTCCCCTGCCCTTTTATTCCTTGACCACCCCAGCCCCCCAGTTGGGACCCACTCCCTTGCCCCACATCTCACCCTTCTGGGGGTGCCTCAATTTTTGGGGGGTGCCCCCTCCCCGCAGCCTCCGACCTGGAGACTTGTTCATTGAGATCTGGGCAAACCTGGTCCCCCCTAGGCCCAATGACACCACAGATGGGTGCTGGGGACACCCCATCAGATGCGTCTGGCTCTGGGGAGGAGCCGTACTCACCGGCCTGAGCCCCGGGGGGCAGGAGGCAGATCACACAGAGCAGCAGCCGC